CATTTCCAAACATTTGGAAACGATGTGAGGGGCTAAGGACAGAGGGTGTCGTATTGTCATACTGATATTCTGTACAAACTGTGAAGTCCACTGAGACCAATGTAACATTTGTGATATTGGGCTATATAAATAAACATTGATTGATTGATTGAAGCAGCTTTAAAAGTAAATTATTGTTTTTTTTATTGATTTAAAATCAACTCACTTGATTTTAAAAGGTGAGATGATGATACAAATGATTATTAATAAGTTACTGTCAGACATATCGTTTTAAGACTAAAAAAAATTGTTTTAGTTTTCATTTTCCAAGCAATAGTGACAAACTGATTCAAGTTTCTGGATTTGATGAATTTCAGGAATATTTTAAATAAATTGTAATTAGCATTTTCTTAAATATTTATATAAATAGTTTACTATTAATCAAGAAGGTAATTTGACATTGCAAACAATGGAACAACAACATAAATTCCAATCAATACATTCAAGAAAACACATCAACTTGACTGATTTTTACAATATATTTAATTCAATTTTTTCTTACAAAACAATTCCCTCATAAACCAGAACACACAAAATGCATAAAGAAAACTGTACAGTCAGTTTCATCATGTCTGAACGTGTTCTAAACATGAACAATGTTATCTACAACAGTGGTTCCTATCAATGTCTATCACACCAAGCGGGTCAGCTGAGCAGCCCCTCACAGGAGGGTTCGAGGAGAGGGACTTAAATATTCATGTGACACTGAAGGTAGATCCAAACAAATAACACGAGCTAGCCAATTATTTAGTAATATCAGCGAGTGGGCTGCAGTCTCTTTGTTCTTGATCTCCGGGGCTCTAGTAGCGGTGTCAAACTGCTGAATCGACCTTAAGAGATAAGCTGACGGACGTGTCGAAGAGAGGGAGGGAAGGTGACTTTTTCACAAGTAAACCGTGAGTGAGTGCTAGAGATCATTGAGAGATGATCATGTTGAAGGTCTGTTTTTATTACATGCATGTCTCAGAGCCGCCCAATACTGTAGATGCTCATTTAGAGCCACCAGGGGAGTGACTTTGGATGGGAAAGTGACTTTACGAAGCCTCAGAGCCTTTTTTTAAACAGTAAGAATATATTTATTTTTGATACAGTGAGAAAACTGGGCTACCAATTTGACAAATTTCCATTCATAAACATAAATGTATGTCAAGATAGTATATTTTTCTCCTCAGTGCAACAGTGGTCTATCATTGAGTCATCAACAGGCTTTCATGCCAGAAAGTAACTTCATGGCTGATTAGCAGCAAATACCTAAATTACAAACAAGAACGACTAATCGGCTTCACTCCTGCGTTTTCTTTTTTTCCCTTACCTACACATTGCATCGCATTGGGGAGTTACAGGCACAACTACGTATTAGGAGATGATAGTTAGTATTTTATGTGGGCCGTTGTTTATTCCTGGGGAGGAAAAGCAAACCACATTAGCAGATATTCTCCATTCACAAGACTCCAGCTGGATGATACTCTCTTCCTTAAGCACTCCTTCTGTGGAGTTGTATGTAACTGCCAAACAAAAGGGTCAACAACTGCACATTTCTATAGGCTGTGAGTATTTGTACAGTGGTCACATACTGTATAATATACAAGAGAGCTTGCTGAGATCATTTAGAAGATATCTATCTTTCCATGCAGGGACTGAGCATTAATGCTGCTTTTTCTAAAGTACTTTACATTGTATTTGATATGAAAGATGTATTTTTATTAATGAATTGATTATACTGTTTTGCCTATAGCTTGTCTATGCTGGTTAAATAAAGTTCATTTAAAAAATAAATTAAAGTATATAAAAAAAATTGCAATTAAAGTGTTCTAAGTGTGTCTGTTTTATAAATAACAATTCATTAAATGTGAATTTAGGGAGAATACACATTTTGCGTGTAAAACAGCCAATTCACAGTAACCCATCATTTATTTTATAACCTAAAATGAGAAAACATCTCTGCCAGATGGTAAAGGATATTAACACTGAATATTAGGGGATAGTAATTGTTTTTAGTATGTTAATTTGAAGCTTGGAGGCAATGACAAAAAAACAAAGAAAGAAAAAGTGTTTTCCCCAAGACTGGCACTAATGTTAGCCCTACATCTACGTGACATTAAGTGTGAATGTTGGATAAATATGAATGTTTCTCGTCACTACCGTCAAAAGGCATAGATGTTTGAGAGATTCCAGTAACTTCTGATATCATTATTACATCTGCAGAGCTGCAGTGGCGTTGTCTTGTTGCTAATGGATCATCATTACGATTATTAGTGCAAATGGGAAAAAGCAAATTACACAACCACAGAGTGAACATACCTGCTATTTTGAAGGACAAAGAGTTGCTGGTGTTTATTCGGTTCCTGCCTCGAGACAGATAATACCAGGGTTGTTCAAAAGTAGTGATACAATGTCGATGTTTAAAACAGTACGGTAGGTTAGTGTCAGTGAAACAGGCTGTTATGCCTGTGCAAATGTGGTTGCTTTTAAAAGTTTTTCTTGCAGACTAGACAGAAAGAAATACAAACATGTTCTATGTGTAACAAAGTGGAATAACTAACACATGGCAAGCGTAGTACCTGCCTTAGAGATTGATCTTGATGCACAGCTCTCAGGGAGGAAGTAAAAATGCTCACAGCCCGTTCGATAGCGAGTTGATGGCACTTTGGCGCGGCCTCAGCATGTGGGGTCAGAGTAAAGAGGAGTCATTACCCTGAGGAAATCTGCTAAGTGGCATTTTCAGGCTCTGCAGATCAGAATTGTGCTGCAGGTACAGAATAAATGTGAGGGACAGCAGGGGAGAGATTACACCATTGCAAGAGACCGCAATATGTACTGTTCATTTCTGGTTAGGCTGCCTTTGCGAGCGAAAACATCCAATGACAACAGCTAATGGACCAATCGGGCTCTTTGGATAGACAATGTAAATAGAAGGAATTACACATGTGCATAAAGCCAACCTCTGCCGGCATGAGAAGAATGAGAGCTTTCAGAGGGAGGATACAGTACAATACCATGACAAAGGCCAATAAACGGATGGGTTGGTAGCTTTTAAAAGGACTCAGAACACACATACACTAAAGGCAGACAGGACAGACGGACAGTTTCTGGTGATTATATGCAGCACTGGTGATAACGACAAACATTGTTGAGATAAACAAAATCGGAAAGCTTTTTACTCTAAAAAAAGTGAGCATTGTGCATAGTTCATAGTTTGTTAATAACCCCTCTTCAGGTACCTATTTGCTGTGATAGCATGGAAGGAAGTGCAATAATGTACAATTCTGTATATTTAAGTGAACATAGATCACTGTTGCACTGAACGGCATTGACACTTTCTCCCAATAGAAATATCACAACAGGGTTTCTTAATGTTTTTCTCAATTACTCTAATTTTAAGTGTAGTTTTGTTACAATAAACCCAGGCATGTATCCCTCTCGCTCAGTCCCAGGGTTGAGTCCACAACTGATCTTCACATAAATCTGTATAATAGGTAATTTGGCCTGATCTTTCCTTTTTTTCCATTTACGTTTGTCTCTAATCTTCATCTTTCTTTTTTTCCCCTTTTTACTCATACCTCGCCGACCCAGACGACTGTGTTTCCTCTCTTGATGTCTGACACTTCACAGTGAGGCGTTCTCTGTTTACCATTCAGGACAAAGAGGGACTCGGCTGACGGCGTCACAAGGTACTGTCCAAACAAACCGCTGGAGACCACTACTCTGTTGGGGCCTCCCCAGGGCCAGGCTTGGGGGGCCAGGGGCTCCTTGAGGCTCCGCAGAACCTCAGTGCGGCCCGAGGACAGATCGGCAAACAGCAGGTCCGTCCCTGAGCTCGAGGTGGCGACAACCACGTGCTGGTTGGACTCCGTGAAGGACGGCTGGAAAGCCAAATCGGACACAGCTATTGGCTCGTCCACTTCCTGGTTCAGACCCAGCTCCCCCTGGAACGACACTGTCTGTACTATCAACTTGGAGCTCTGAGGGTCGGGCGTCACAATGTAGCGGCCATCCGGCGACACAAAGGCCTGCCCAGTGATGTTCAGGTTTGGACCAATCACTGCGTCCGTCACGCTGTCGATGAGCAGCTGGGGCGGGGCTTTCAGGTGGCTCTTGCTCTCGCACTGGACGAAGTAGAAGCCGCTCAGGTGTGTGTACGCCATGCTGACCGGTATGCAGCTGTAGTTCTTCAGGCTGATGGTCTTGACGCGATGGAAGGTCTCAAGGTCGATCTTGTGTACCGCAGGTTCGTTTTTGAGGAAGACGAAGGCAAACCTAAATTGACAAAGGTCAGAGGAAAGGTTAATAGCCTTTCTAGATTTTTGGGGGCAGTGATTATCAAACATGGAGATTCTCATTTGCTCTTTTCTCCTTCGCTTCAGAAGGACAGCCGTGATGAGCGAGCAATGAGGTCGGAGGACGATGAAGGGGTTAGTGTGAGTGTGAGTGTGTGTGTGTGTGCGCAGGTTTGCTGCTTTACCTCACGTGTGTGATGATGAGGTTGGTTGGAGGAATAAAGAAGTCGCTGACCCTCTGGAAAGTTGTGCGGATGGCATGATGCACCTCTCCCACACTGGCTTGAGGAATGACCTATAGACAGTGCACAGAGCAGTATAAACATTAGGTATCTATAAGAAGGATTATTACCATGATATGGACAATGATATTTTCCATTTCAATGTATTTTGGGAGCAGAGACTGTAAGCAAAAGATTTACACAATTCCAAATAAAAATGTTATTCATTGACTCATCGACTTTGCAGATGGATATGAACATAGTTAACTTCAAATCTGGCCAGCACTGCAATGTCAGAGTTGCAAAAACATTAATTTAAAAAACAAAAAGAACGCCATAATTAAAATACTATTTTTACTGAACCAAAATGTTAATGCTGCTTGAGATATTTTACTACAAACACAATGCTTCTGTACATTCCTATGAATATATCTACAGCCAGAAAAATTGTTTCGTTTTGGAAAATATTAAATCAAAAATGGAGGAGGAGGCATTGTTGGAGCAATCTTCTTAGATCTTACAATCATCAAGTACTCATTCATAAAATGTCTTATTTTAATTTCTCACCCAGTGCAATAGACTGGATGAGCTCCTATCTGTCAGATAGAGTTCAGTGTGTTAGGGTAGGTGGCGAGACATCACCACCCCTGAGGAATGAACTGGGTGTACCCCAGGGATCTATTCTGGGCCCAATTATATTCAGCCTCTTTATAAATGACTTGCCATCAGTGGGCACTGGATGTGAGGTGAACATGTATGCTGATGACACTTTCATTTATGTCAGCTGTATTAGCATTATTATTATTAGCATTATTTTGTAATCTGCCATATATCTATTGTTGGGGAATGTTCGGTTGTGTTTGTGTAATGTGATAAATGTAAAAAATAAGTACAATTTAAATAGAGCAACGTTCTAATCTATATCTAACCATNAATGGTCTCACATGCAGAGCACACAGTGAAATGTGTTCTCTGCTTTTAACCCATCCTAGTATCAGGAGTCTAGCACCAGGAGCAGTGGGCAGCTACTGTTACAGTAGCTGCCCACTGCTCCTGGTGCTAGACTCCTGATACTAGGATGGGTTAAAAGCAGAGAACACATTTCACTGTGTGCTCTGCATGTGAGACCATTAAGACCAATTCTATTCTATTTATATCAGAACTAAAGACATGTCAGTGAGCGCTGGGACTCATGCATCTCTCTGTTAATAAGATGTCTGTGTAGATACACTAACGTGATGTCACTTCCTGTGTGTGGCTGCACTTTAAGAGGTTTAGTGAGCAGACGTGTTTACTGCGAGAATTTAACCAGTGTCTCTGTATGCAGGGCTCCATTCCCCCCGTCCTCCTCAGCTCCATGACCACGGAGGGCGTCTGCGAGAGGGTGCACCTGATCGAGGGCATCGACCAAAGCATGATGGGAAACTACAGCGCCACCATCAGGAAGGTGTGTGTGTGTGTGTGTGTGTGTGTGTGTGTGTGTGTGTGTGTGTGTGTGTGTGTGTGTGTGTGTGTGTGTGACACTAACGTGTGTGTGTGTTTCCAGGCGAACGTGAACGGCCGTGTGCTGACGCAGTGTAACATCGACGAGCTGAAGAAGGAGATGAATATGAACTTTGGAGACTGGCAGCTGTTCCGAGCCTCGGTGAGGAAAAACTCTTCCCATAAAATCAGATTCTACGGGACTAAACACACATTCCAGAGATCACCTTATGTTCGGGACGGGAATTAATGAGTCAATATCTTCAATATTCATTGGATCATTCAATTCTTACACAATTCTGAGAAAACAATTATTATATTGTTTTACCACTTGTTATCCGAATTCCCACTTTTTTCTCAGAATTCCCACTTTTTTCTCAGAATTCCCACTAAAGTCTTAGAATAAAATGTACATTTGTCTCAGTGGACTTCACAGTTTGTACAGAATATCAGTATGACAACACGACACCCTCTGTCCTTAGACCCTCTGTCCTCAGACCCTCTGTCCTNGTGTGCCTTGGCAGTCTCAGAAAGATAATACATTTGCAACATAGGTAGTCCAAATGTTTGGAAATGCATGTGTGTATAATAGGAAGATGAATCCATGAGTATATCCATTCAGGACTTATGATCCAGGACCACAGCCACGACTCAAGATCCAGGACTCGCAATCCATGACACAGGACCGCAGGATCATCCATGACTCCGGATCCCGGCGTATATAGACACCAAAAAGAAAGAAATTTGGGGAAGCTGGGTTAATCGGAACATGAGAGTACACAGGTATAGACAGAGAGAAGGAAGAAGTAAGATGTCCCCCAACAAACTAAGCCTATATCAGAAAAACTAGGGGCTGAATCTAATCAGCCCTAACTATAAGCTTTATCAAAAAGGAAGGTCTTAAGCACACTCTTAAAAACGGATAGGGTGTCTGCCGTCCGAACACAAACTGGAAGCTGATTCCACAAAAGTGGAGCTTGCTTAATTGCTTAATTGCTTAATTGCTTAATTGCTTAAACACATGCTTAATTGTAAGCATGTGCTACTATTTTTGTATTGATTCATATGGTAATTAACAAAACAAAATTATCATTAAGAATAAGACGCCCAGAAAAAGTCAACTTGAAGTCGTCGTCCTCGAAGTCCTTAGTGATCTTAAACAAGGGGAATACAAATGTGACCTGAATGTAAGAACAGGAAAACCGTGCATAATTTAAATCATAACCAAATATGTTACACTGTGTTATTTCTTAACTATTAAGTTAAATGACCATCAGAAGACTAGCTGCTGATGCAAAAAACATTCACATAAACACCAATGAGAAAATTAGCCTATGGAAAATGACAGGACATTTGGTACAAGTCCCCAGATGTGATGTGACATCCGTTCCCCATCCCTGCCCACACGGCCATTAATAGTCTTGGTCCAGTGATAGGCGTGCATCGAGCCGGCCTTCACTACGGTGAAAGTTAATGTAATGGTAATGTTATCTATTGTCTTAACGCACACTGACAATCCATGGCCATTCATCCATTACTTGCTCTACTGACAGACGCTGTCAATACCCCCTCAGCCTCAGAGTGAAACAATGAGGTGAAAGGGAGAAGAAAAGACTTCCTGGAGCCAAACATCGGTGAGGTAGGACAATCCGATCACACAGATAATTACCTTCCTGTTCACGCCTGCTTCAATTTCCTGTGAATCCCAACAGAGTGGAGACAGGAAGACGCCGGCTTTCATCCACGGCTTACTGACGTATCTGTGGACAAACCACAACATAATCACACATCCATCCTCTTCCGAAGGGCTGCAAATAAAAAGGTTTTCAATCTGATATCAACATGAACTGGCAACAATGAGAAGTGATCTCTCAACTGCTTTACTTTATCCATATGACCTTCAATTCTTTATCAATCACTTTATTTTTCAACAAACTAAACTAGGACTTCTTGAAGATAATTATCGAGATACTATACTATGACTCTTTTTATATTATTTTCGACATACAATAATATGACTTTTTTCCAAAGGCCAAACTGTTGACTCTTCTACCATTTAAACTCTTCTTTTTCGTAAGTTTGTTTACCAAAACTGTCATAAAATATCAGTAAATAAACACAAACTCTGAGGATTAGGTTTGGTGGATTAGGTGATAATTGAATTATTCCAACATTAAATGTGATAGCAGCCGGAGCTGGACACGCCACTGTCACTTGTTTGGCACATTAAAAGATTATATTTTAGTGATATTTAGGCAAGTAAACAGTTTTGGTGAAAGCAGGCTTAATGTCTGAATAACAGTCGGGCAACTAATCTGCTTAGGCTTTGGTTAAATAAATAATAAGACTTTTTTGTATACCCAGAGTGGAATTTATTTTGGTATTAGCTGAGAATCAAACCACTCAGACATGCATTTGCAATGCTGATCATCAGCCGCTTGTTTTGTTGTGGTGGGAAAACAGCTGTCTTAGAGAAAGTGTTTTTATTTAACAAGACCATATGCAGCTTTTAAAGTGTGTGAAAACCTTCGAAGTCAAGAGGAAATCACAACATTGGACTGTCAAAATAACTACTTTAGCTTCAACAGGTGGGTGGGAACTTTTTTTGTATCCATCCTTGAATAAAATGTAAGGAGACCAAGATCTAAAATGTCTTGCGTTGGAACAAATTCAAGGTCATTTAAACAAAATACCGTCCTATACTGTATGTATCTTCTTGTAATAAAGGCAAAAAGGCCCAAATAGAAAGAAAATAACAGTCTTACAAACATGTGTAAATCCTTACTTAAACACAATGGTGCATTTAGCTAAGTTACAACGTCAACATGTAATGTTAGTATGCTGATCTGAGGCCAAATCCGTCGATAAGATGTTAAGATATTCCACTGGATAAGTAAAAACGTTGGGGTTGCTAGGTAAAAAAACAGAGTCGTCTGAGCTTCATCCATATCTGTACCACATTTCATGGTAATCCATCCAACACTTGTGCAGATACTTCAGTCAGGATGAAAGCAGTGAGCCGACCCAAGAAAAAATGGAGGTGCAGGAGGCGGTGTCCTCAGCATCAAGTGTGATACTGCAGGCTGACTGAGAACACAGCAGCAGAACTCCCTGTCATGTATCATTCACAGCATATACAAAAAAAGACATGGTACAGTAAGAAGTAAAAACATGAGGAGCTGACTCACAGTTGGTTTCTCCGCACTGTTGCTATAGCATGATGACACATTTGAAACATTCATAGAGAAACACAAGAGTAATGTTTTCATCATTAGGGCTGCTTCTCACAGTGAGAGCATCAGACATCGAGGAATCTTGCATCAATGCATCCTTTATTGCAGTTTAAAAACTAAACAAACAAGATATGAAAAGACATGTGATTATGTTCATAGTTAGTAGATACAACATTTCTGGGCAGAGACACAATGATGAGAGCAGGTGCCAAGAAGGATTTGTCACATATCAGGGTATGAAATATATCCAAAGTCTTACAGGAATATATCATAAAGCAGTCTACAAGTGAGCAAACAGCTATGCATATACAGTAAAAAGAAAAAAAAAATGTTTAACAAGAAAGTAATTTTGGTTGAATCAAATATCTACAAAACCTGGTCTCTATTCTCTATTAGTTCAAATCAGTCAACAATCAAGACAGTAAAACAAGTGATAGTCAGTTCACCTGAACAAGCTCAAAACAGCTACAGTTTACTCACGTTTAGTTAGTCCTTCTTTCATCCTGTATTTGCAATATCAGATATGTATCCTTTACAGTCAAGATCAACATCAGACATTTTACTGATTCTTACAGGAGTCTGTGATGAATATATATTTCATTGTAGTATGAAAACACATCAGAATAGTGGAGCCCATTTCTGTTGGTTGGTGTATGAAATGTGGACAATTCATCAATAAGATGAACAGCAGGGATGCCTCCATCACAGTGGAGGTGCTGATGGAGGGAGTTAGAGAAAATCAAACATTTTCTGACAGTAATTTGAAAAGAACGTGTTAGCCATTAAAGATGAAGTAAAAAATAACAACGGTCATAAATATGAAATGTCACAGGGAAGTCTAAAGTGCAGTTGGTGCATGCGTACGTGTCACCGTGAGGCCAAATCATGATTACAGCAGAGATGTGAGTAATAATGACAGATATTAGTGCTCCATGTGATGACGGTTATGGTGAAGTGAGTGACAGAAATCAAAGCCTCTTGTGTTCTCTACATACAGTACTTGATTCATGGGTGTGGGAGAAAAAATCAAAAAACACAGATACATATATAAAAATAGGAAAAGTCACGCTGAGGTCTTGTTACTAGAAATGTGAATCATTTAAGTGAAACTGACATTTGAATGTATCACACTTTCTGCTCCAGGAGGAGGAAATAAACTCTAAACTAATCCTACAAGTTCTATTTTTGCACATATCTTCAGAAACAGTGTCAGATGCGTTAACCCTCTGAGGGTTGTTTCCCATATTTTCATTTACTGTATTTTTTATACTGTAGCAAGAGTGTTAAAGAGCAACCTTTTTTTTATTACATTTATGCTTAACCTTGCCTGAAAATTACAATTAAAAAGTTAATGCAGGATTTCATATGTTTTACGAGACATAAGGGCAGGAATTCAGAGGGGAAAGTAGCCGTTTTGAGCTCTGCTACTTAACGCCATACGTCAAACGAGTCATATTACGTGACATAGGAGAACAACTTTCTCGGACTCCTTCTCTGCTCAATTCACGGTAGTAGTTTGTTTGAGCGGTTGTGATTTAGTGAGCTAGTATTTTTTAGGTCATTTTACATTACATTTCATCATTTTTAATCATGGTGAGCTATTGCGTTTGTGCAGGTTGCACAAACTCCAGCCTGTCAGGACATCAAGTCCACAGTTTCCCTAACAGGAAAAGGACCAGAGCTAGCTTTCGTTCCTGGGTGCGTTGTGCGAGGTGCATCCACCTCCCGGCAGCACATACTCTCTCCAGAGGCCATGGGCTGGCATTTCCCACACAAGCACCTATCAAACAAAACGTTCATCAGGAAACCATATCACATCTCTCTCCCCCCATTCGTTCCTCTCTCTCTCCCCCCCTTTGCTCCTCTCTCTCCCCCCCGTCCCTGTGTCTAAGCCATGACGTGCCTGGGTTTGTAACAAGATATCCACTCCCCTACCATACAAAGGGTACCTTTGGCCATACCACTTCCTACAGTTTAAACACTTCTCCCTCGGAAAGTACAAGCACCTTACCTCTCTATTGGAAATTGTACCAATTGCAAACCAACTTCCTTTGGCATTGTCTTA